CGAGCCGAAGGTTGCATTTAGTGGCTCCTCTATGACACGTAGCTCGTTGTTCGATCTCGGACGACTCCACTCCTTTTTCAACAGGTCGCGTCTATCAGACGGACTTTCTAAGCTTATTCTGCAGGATGAACCTCGACTAATTAGGCCGGATTATGATTCTGTTCTTATCTAAGATTGAAAAAAATTCTACATTGTTTAAGAAGCTTGTATTTGTTTTTCAAATTATTACAAGTTATACTAATTTTTTTTTCCATGAATTGATTCCTCGTGCAGGTCTGAGTAAGAAAATTGAGACACAACGTTTACGAAACAATTACGATAACTACGAAGAATGTTGATCATTGTCTCATTAAACAATCAACGTGCAATCAAAAGTGAAAAGAAAGTCCTCTGAGTTTGTTAAAATTACAGTCCCAGCATTCTTATCGAAATCTTATTTAGTTTCACGCCGAGACAGACGAATCCATGTCCGAAGGAAATCACACGAAATTAAACGTGATTCGCAAGGACAAGGTCGCGAAGTGACAACGTATCGGTCCATTTTCCGTTGTAAAAAGGGTGTCGACTGCATCGACCGAGGTCACCGAAGTTAACAGCGTCGTGTACACGCGGGCTTTCTTATTTCTCCAGAGACAGTTATCAGACGGAGCAAAAGATTCTTCTTGTTGTTGCACGACTCGTTTCTTTCTCTCATTCGGGTCGTTTTCTCTCGTTTCTTTTCTTTTCTTCTTTTCTTTCTGTATAGATCAGCTTCGCGAGCCGACCCTCGTGATCGGAATTCAATCAGTTTCTTACGACTGCCACCGAGTTGCCGACGAACGGGTTGAGTTTTAAAAATTTTCAAAGTCCGATTAAAAAATTTGTACACTGGTTGAAAATTGACTTTGTATAAAACGAGCTTGGCAAATTTTCGCATTTAAGTTTTACTTCTTTTTTCCTCGGAAACGAAGCGTTATCTTGTAAAAGAATTTTATCCTATATTAATCTAATCTGAAATTAATCAAAGCATACTTGACGAATTTTCGGAAACTTTTCCTACAATGAATATTAATATTTAATTTGATTTAATGATACAAATAATCTTGATCCTATTTTTATAGAAATATAAGATGTATAATATCTTCTATATATTACACCTATTTATATATACTAGAAAATAGTACAAGTAAATAAATATAACTATAAACAATCGTATGAGTAATGATCACTCAAAAGAAAGCATACTATATATAAAACGAAGAAAGAGGGAAAAAGTTTAATAACAAAAAAAAAAAA